GAGTCAAAACCCGACTTTAGATAAATATATCTTATCTTATATTGTATCTGACACTGAAACCATCGGAGTTAAATTTTGTGTTTTGAGTGAGCTAAATTAAAAATATTTTCCCACTCGATCAGCATCACTCAGGTTGAAGATCCGGATCCAACCGATTTTCCCTTGAGTTTCTTCTTGGTTACCTTTTAATTAAGATTTCATAAAGTTTGCATTTAGTTTAAAAAAAGCTTTTGGGTTCTATATGGATAACTTGTATGTTTACATATTATTTTCAAAAATGAACACATTAAAACAGCCAGGTCTGGCATACGATCTATTATTAAAGGCAGAAATTTTAATCACCGCCTTCAAAAATTCCTGGTCTGTGTACCTCTGTCAATCAAGTGTATTAAGGTACATCACTGGGTGCTAGAACTTGATTGACATTTACTTACTAGCCTCTGTGTATACTCTGTACACCGTTTGGCACCCGTGGTGACCTTCAAATTAACTTTTGATCCTTTGATATTTACCACACATGGTATAAACAATAGAGAAGCTGTATTACTATGGAATTTTTAGCTTGATAATTAATATATATATATATATATATATATATATATATATATATATATATATATATATATATATATATATATATATATATATATATATATATATATATATATATATATATATATATTAGGGATGGCAATCGAATACAGAATTGCTAATCGGTTAACCGCAAGACGTTCCGACCGATTAACCGGTTAACCGTATCAAAATATGCATTTAATTTTTCTTGATATGCTTTTTCCCCTAAGTATCTCTATTCATTTACACAAGAAGACTAATAAAGTCGCTAGAAGTTAAATCATTCTATTTATCTTCTTTCTTGATAAGAAAACTACATGCATGTACATGTATATATTTTAGTTCAGTTTTCACAGACAAGAAAAAAATAAGGAAAACCACGAATCATGTCTGAGAAATCAAATATATCCAGAGCAGATGTCACATAAGTTCATTCTGCATTGTCACCATAATTAAAATTAAGTCTGAACTACATCACTGAATTTACAATGTTTGTTTAGTAATTTATTCGATGGACAACTGCAAAAGACAAACATACTAATTCGCAGTGTTCAACGGTGATTTAATATCATTAAAGAATTGCATGACAGGTGTTTTAACAGTGATTAACATCTCAACCATTAAATGACCAATTACCCCACAATCTTCATCCAGAGAAACATAATTACATCCAAGTCAGCTTGGATATGTGAGAACGCTGAATTATCAACGTTAATGTAGATATTTCTTTTTTTCTGAAAATGATTTATAAGAAAATTGCGTTTAAATTTACATTTATTTCATTTTTCCGACTAACCGATTACATATTCTCTAACCGATTGCCATCGTTCCGACCGAGTAATCGGTTAACCGGTTACAAATTGCCATCCCTAATATATATATATATATATATATATATATATATATATATATATATATATATATATATATATATATATATATATATATATATATATATATATATATATATATATATATATCAAAGTATAGGTATAACATTTTTCAAAGCTAAACAAATACTTTAAGGAGGTTCGATCCTGAGCTTTTGAGCAGATTTTGGTCTGGACCTTTATTTCTAAAATTCTGCATCATTTTAAAGTTCTAACATTAAATCTGGATTCTACAATGCAAATTAAACTATATTCAATGAAAAAACCGCGATTAAATGCCATTCAAATAGGATTAAGTCAGAGACTATATTTTGTGGCGGAAGGTTTTTTAGAAGAAAATGATCAATTTTTTCCTTTTGAAATATATACAGTACTGTTAAGTTTAGATTCCTATTTTCCCATGTTGGTTGCAAACAGAGCTGTTTTTGCTGTGAAATGTTTTATTCTGCTTCTGAAATATCTATCAAATTATTTCTTTTGAATTCTTTCATTATTTTGTGACAAATATAGTAAATATATTCTGAAAGTCCAGGAAAAAATTGAGCCAATTTTAACATAAAATTAACACATTTTTAGTAATATCTAAAAATTTACATCATAGACCCCCACTTTTGTTTTTCTTTTCTTAATATATAAGATAACTTTGATCAATCTGCTTAAATTCAACAAAAGTTTAAGACTTTAAAATAACTTTCTTGCTTCTTAAATTTTTAATGCCAGAAAAATCACATTTTGTGAGTGCAGAAAGGTCAAATAATTGATTATGCGAAGCAATTTGAAAATTTTACTTAGTCACAATTTTAATGAGTCTTTTTTTAAATAGACTAATAGTTTATTTTGCCCCATGATTTATTTGGATAAAAACATTGGGGGAAAAACGTCGAAGATGTGATTTTTGATTAAGACACAAATTTCAGTGCAAAAAGGTCATATTTAATCTACTGTTGCGCCAAAAGAAGAATATTGACCCCCATTTTTTGTTTCGATTTTTAATTAAGCTATGTGTGTAGAAACTAAAAATATACTTGACAAAAAAAGTTTAAGACTTTAAATATCAGGATCCAACCTCGTTAAATGATAATATTTTTAATGGGTAGGGATGCTTTGACACACATTCAATTACAACGCAGCTAGGTTAAGGACTCCCATATACACGTCAGCCTATGCAGAGGTTCGGGAAAGCTATAATGACGTCACGTTAAAACAATTCAAATGAATCGCTATGAATGAATACTATATGTTCTTTTTGAAACACACTAAACACTTTCGTTTCTCATAAATATTATAAAGATAAATGGATGTGCAACTTATCTTGCCATAATAGCTCTTAGTGTATGCAGAATGAAAGCCAGCTTGATCTCGCTGTACTAACTGATATGACGTCATTTCTTAGTTTGACACGCAGTTTCTCTGCACTTGAGGCGTGGATCAAGCTTTTATCGTAGCTTGTAAAAATAAAATAAATACAAAACATGCGTAGTCGGACCAAAAGAGAGACATATTCTGAAATATATTAATCCACATTTTATTATCAAACTAAACTGATAATGTGTAGGCTTTAAATAAAGCCGTAGGGAGCACATTTGTACAGTAACGTGCTAGAATGAGGGGTCCAGCCCCTCGAAAATATCAAAAGTTCAACGATATCCGCTTCACTATAAATTCTGAATTTTTAAACACGTGTAGCTATTATTCCTACTATTCTGAAAAGTGCTGGGAGCTGGTTGTGCATTGTTTATTTATTCCGTAATCTAACATTATTCCAATGCGTGTGCCATTTTTATCTGGAGTTTATAGAAAGACAGCTAAATTTTTAACAATTCTCGAGCATGAGCAAGTTGCTCCCAGCACTTTTCGGGTTAAGGAATTTGTCTCAAAGAAAACAAAATAAATTTTATAGCGGAAAGATGCCCGTATATCGTTGAACTTTTACGATCTTTGAAGTAGTACATATATGGTTCAATTTTAAACCTGTCACGTGACAAACAGCTGATGTAAGCGATGTCACTTTGGCCGAACTCAGCAGAGACCCGATATATACAAATGCAAACACCACAATTCACATTTATCAAAACTAGTGCTCTTAAAAAAAATATTAAAATTGTATTAATTTCCCCTGAATATATAAAGGCGTATATTTCATGGGCGTCCTTAACCTAGCTGCGAAATTAGAAAAAAAAAATTGAGATTAAACTTTATTTAAAACGTTTTATTTCTAATTTAAAATCATCTCAAAATCCCAAAAGTTTGACTTCTTGTGTAGTCTACTGTACATTAAATCACTTCCTGTGTATAGGGATTCGGAGACAAATGACCACATGTAGACTGTTAGCCCTCAAGGCATTCACCCCTGTACAAAATAACCCCCCCCCCACCCTCACCTGAAATTTACCACCCGGTAAAAAATCTCTGCCCTTAAGTGTGGAAAACAACAAATTATATTAACCGTTGAGTTAGGTTCATATAACAAGCTAAAGCTGCTTAACAATTTTATTGTTGTTCTCCAAACAGTTCAAACAGTTAAAAGTCAAGTTTTGTCAGACCAGATATATGTACCTTATTTTGTACGCTGATATAAAAAAACAAATAACAGCCCTTTATTATTTTCAACAGCCCTCGATCTCACAAGTATCTTATCTTAGGATAGAGAGTCTTTTGATAGACCATCGTCACCATGCGGACATCTCTGCTGTTTTGTGGCCCTCACCTGGGCACAGCGTTCCTGATATTTTAAAAATTTGCATCACGCTCAATTTTTTAAACGGTCATTTGGACCGATATTTTTCTTGTAAAGTATCTCCATTTTGTCTCCATTTTTGTGTGGATTTAGAGACCACTCAGAGCTAAGATATTGCTATATTAATTTATGCGGGCACATTTTTTCATGGGAATATCAAAGGTTTTTTTTTCTTTTTTAAAAAAAATAGCAGTCAGTTACAAAAGTTACTCGGATGAGCAGTCTGGCCGTCTGGCCCATGGACCGCATTTTTTAAATGCTTTTGAAATAATTTCTAATGTTTGGTGTTGCATCTCTATCAAATCTCCAACAGTTGTTTTGTTTCTAAAAGCTTGATAAGATATAGACCCCGTTCAACTCCCACGAGTACTTTCAGTACTTTGATTTGATTCCTTAATTGATAGATGAGGGAAAATGTTTACCGTTAGACATTTCTGTGACTCTATTTTTTTTATTCTCAAACTTTTGCTTGAAATTTAAAGATGTTCTGTAAATCGGCGTCAAAGTCAATACCAAGTAATTTAAGAAAGTGTTTTTTTTTTCGAGTTCGTAATCTTCCCCTGCACAGACACCTCATGAATACGTTGGAAAGAAGAATCATTTGTTTTCTTTATTTATAAAAACTAATAGATATGGATCTTTCAAAACTCCTGCATATTATTCTATATAATATTTGATACAGATAGGGACTCAAATTTAATTAACTAAATTCCGTAATAAAATTTCCCGCCTCTTAAAAATCAGATCCGCCCACACTAGCCCCAAAAGTTACCGGAAGTGTTCGCTAGGTGGCGCTATTTTCTACATATGGCGAAAGTACACAACCTGAAAATGCATTGATAAAAAGTAAACAATGTGGTAATTGCGTTCAGTGTCAAAATAAGGGTGGAATAAAGTGGAGATTTCCAAACAAGATGACGACACTTTCGCCATTTACGCCTCCTATTGTGAAAACACTGTTAGGGTGGAAGAAAGGGGACAGTTCCGAAGTTGATAAGTGGTCGGAAAAAGCTGTGAAAAGTTTAGTGAAAAAATTAAAAAAGACTGGCGGACTCGACGAGCTGAAGAAAGCAATAAGCACCCAGGATACATCTACAAAGTGCATTACAATTCCAAGGTAAACGGAAGATATTGTATAATGTAATGAAATAAGATCATAAGCATGCTTAAAATTCCGTCCAATATGGCGGTGATCGAAAACAAACATTCGGGGGTCCAAAAAGGGATCACTTTTATTAAAATCACAGTGATTGAAATAGGGGAGCCTGTGGCTATAGTTAGACAGATACAGGGATATGGAGTTGTTCTGTTATATTAGGCACCTGTTTTCAAATAATCATTGTTACAATGTCACTTTTTGTAAACTGCATTTAAATTGGTTTCTTGCATCATGTGCATATGTGCTGATACAGGGACCTATATAATATAGTATATAAGTCCCTGGCTGATATAGTCCAACAATATTGAATTAGATAAATTTTGTTGACATTTGCGTGGTGTAAGTTATCTATATAAATATTTCTAAAAATATCAGAATTGCTGAAGCTACATGATATATTTTACACTTAACATATATAGATGACTTTCACAATTTACAAAAGTTATTTCCCTTTGCGGGGTCAATCTGGGGTCAACCCTTTTCCCTCTATACCATTACCAACTTCATGAGGCAATGTCTTACAAATGAAATCTGTATGAACATATTTGTTATGTTTTTTATGTTGCCCCATACTATGGAATACAGGAACGGATCAAAATTGTCCGACAGCGTTTAAAGGTTAAAATATTTACAGGTAAGTTACTAAGGTTATAGTGAGTAAAATGAGCGTTACTCCAACAACGGGAGATAACTCTTACCAATGTGAAATTCTTCTATTGTGCTAGGTAATATAACATGAATAATGAACATTCGTTTGATACTGTTAATACATGTGACAGAGTGGAAAAATCAGAACTGGAGATATGAAATTTTTTCAGCTGAAGTTTGGGTCTCAAAACTGGAGATTTGAAATTTTTAGCTGGAGTTTGGGTCTCAGAACTGGAGATTTGAAAATTTTCAGGTAGAGTCTGGGTCTCAAAACTGGAGATTTTTTTATCAACATTTTTTCAGATCACCAAGGACCATCCTTCTAACATTTGTCTAAAAAATTAGGAAGAATTAACTTTTCTCTGAAACAGAAAAAGTCGGAAATACATTAGCCATTTAAGTGACATAAATATGACGTCATATCAGTGATTTTTGGGGGGTCAAAATGCCACCGATATTCGGCTGTTTCCCCTCACAAAAATTAACTATTTTTTCCCAATTATTAGCAGTCAGGGGCATAATGCAAACAAGTTATTGTCAAAAATAACTCAAATGAGTTATTTTTTTGTCACAGTGAGTTACCTCTCTTTGCTATGACCTACTTTTTCCCAGCATTAGTAACTCAAACACGTTATCTTTCCAAAATAGTTTCAATAAATTAATAACTTGTTTAAGTTATTTTGTGTCATTCCTCCTTAACTTCACACCCCGTGCACCAAAGGTTTTTGCTCGTGCACCAAGACAGAAACAAATGTTTGATTAAATTTAAACCTTGCTCAATCCAGAAAAAATCTTCAAAGTCTTGGGAAAATTGGGGAAAGTTTTTTATTTAAAGATAAAAATTGGACATATAAACCATGTAAATAAAACCACAAAATAAGGATTAAAATGCTGTTTATCTCCACCTCCTCACCAATTCTCTATTGGAGTCGGTGCACTCCATCTAGTATTACATAATGGAATCCCAAAATGCAATGCATATTGGCAGGAAATACAAAATTCCCAAGAAATCAATGTCCAAGTAGGATAAAAAAATAACTTATTTTAGTTATTATTAAAAAAACTTTCGTGTGTGTAAAATAACTTATTTAAGTTATTTTTCTGATAACTTGTTTGAGTTATACCCCTGACTGATTAGTATATTTTTCCCAATTTCAAACCTACAAAAATAATGTTTTAATTTTGAACGAAAGTCGCTAAATTTGCTGACAGAGTAAATACGTTTTTATTCTTCAAATCCATGCATATGTAGCCGATTTTTTTAATGAATGTGTAAAACAATGCAGATATCCATATAAGCAGATAAGTAGCTTATAATATTCTCAATGAATTGGTAAATAGTTCCCAGATACAAGTCTTGTTGCATGTTGACATAATGATTTTGGTTTGACCACCATTATTACATAGAGGGTCAGACTAATAACAGAAAATGGACAACACATAGGGTTCACTAAAATCAGGACAAAACAAACAGTAAAGACTGTAAACTTGATTATCAATATAAGACAGTTTACTAGATTATGAGTCTAAATGCTGATTATTTTTTTTTAATGAAATTAGACAAAGCAATTCCAAGAAAATAGAAGCTACAAGATGTGACTAATATAAGCCATGTTCACATTCAACAAAATATTGATGTTAATTTTTTTACATGATTATTTTATGAATTTAAATCAAATTCAAAATTAAAATCAAACAAAATCTGTTGTTGTTACTTAGTTTGATTATTTTATGTATTTTTTAGCATTCTAATTTACTATAAATGATTTTTCCCAATTGAGGAAAATGTCACTAATTTTTCCCAATTCAGAAGGAGGGGATGGTGGTTTAAAAAACAAAAAAAATCACTGCATATGCAAAGTCATGTTTAGAGAGATGCAAAAAATAGTTTTGTGCCATGGGAATTGCATTTTAAAAATCCTTGTTTCAATTGTTTTTTTTCCAAATAAGTTGTTGCTTTGATAAAGCCACCATTTTGCTATGCACTACAAAAGATTTTGGGGAATTTAGATTTTTTTTATGTGGACTCCTAAAAATTTCTTTGAACAATATGTAGATTTCAATCTTAATTAGCCCTGTTCTTACATGTATTGTTAGTCTACATGGTTTATATATCTCGCGTCATGCTGCTCGCTGTGCTTGCTATTAATGTCAACACACCCGGGAAAATTAGAGACAATAGCTTTGAGTGATCAATCTGAAAGTCATTACAAAAGTTGTCTCCTGTAGGTACATTTATTCATTAATAAAAAGATGGTCCTGTTCGATGAAATACAAAGTAAATCATACTGTATAACTGACAAATGATCCTGTGAAAATTCACTTGGTCCATTGGATAATGATGCATGTAGAGAACTTCTCTCACGGTCAATCACTGTAACAGTCAACTGTTGTGATCTTAATTCTGTCATAAGATTTTAAACCCTGCTATCTCTCTACCTGTTAAATTGTACAAAAAGTGTCCATGCAATTCTTCTCACCTGTATTGCTATTAAATTCAAGCCTGTCTTTTCCTTTAATTAATTAAACACATCAGACAGGGATTTTCCACGGCCCCAGATAGGGCCAACTTCAGGTCCTATTCTGATTGGCAGAAACCCTAAGGCTCCCTTTTTCTCACAAAAATGTACTGTGTGTTACAAGAGGTTAAGGGCAATGATTCAGGTACCTCACCCAATTCGATTTGCAATTTTCTCGCTAACGAGGATGCGTCCACTTATGAGTCCGCGGACATACGATTTTTAAGAACCTTGCATCCCAAATAATTTTGCTGCGTCTAGGACACAGATTCTTGCGTTAGTGGGAACCCTGATCGGGCAAACGTGCATGAACACTGCTTCAATAGGTGATCATCATAGTTTATGCATTTTTTGAGTTAGATGTAAAGAAAAATTAAGTTTATCACTACAAATGCAGGTTGCAAAAAAAGTACTCATCCACTTGGCCTGAATGAGTGAAAATTGGCTTAGGACAAGTAGATATCATAATTGGCTAGTCCCTCATGACAAGTAGAATTTTACCTGATAATTTTTAAATACAGTGTAAGCCAAAACACTCAAATTCAATGTTATATATTGTATTTTGTACATATTAACCAAATTGTGACTGTTTGACTGTTAATGGGTGCTAAAAAAAATCATGCAGACAGTACATCCATTCCTACATGAATTAGCCAGTCTCTTCTGATTGCGAGTTGTCGTAAAATGAGTATCTGCTTAACAAGACTAATCTATGAAAAGTAAAATGCAAACTTCATTTCCAAAGTAAACTAGGCAGTCTTTATGTCAAAAAGATTTTCCACTCAAATTATTGTTGCATTGTTTATTGTACATTTTATTTTAAACATGGCTGATAATTCCATAGAAAAACACGGAAGTCTTGGATTCAGTTATCATTCAAAAAAAAAGTTTTTTTGTTTTATATCCGGTAATAATTTCAACAGAATGAAACAAACTGCTTCCAAACTTTACATTAGACCAACACTCTTAACAAATGAACATTGTAACAGTATCTGAAATGAGCTGTGGTCTTTTAAATTTGAATTACTTGCCTTGGCTCATATAGGACGAGTGGTCAATGAAATATTTTTCTCACCCTGAAATGTTTACAGACACTATGACATTATGTCAGATGTATATCTGCTCTACATAAGGTGATGTAATTTGCAAATGTCATCATTATATAGCTCTAATAAATATTATGAAATTTTAATAAGGCAATGGATTAGTTTACTTATGATTAACTGTCCTGTGAACATGTTGAACACGATTTGATTGGCATTGAATTATCCCCTCGCGCAACTAGTTGCGGAGGGGATATAGCATCGCTACTGTGCATATGTGTGTGTGTTAGTGTGTCCGTTACAGCTTGTGGGCAAGATTTAAAGAGAACCTTTAGACTATCAATTCTCAGCTTCCACGTACTTATGTAGCATCGTAAAAGGACGAACCCTATTCATTTTCAAATTAATCGGTGAAATATTTCTCAAAATATTGCGTTTTTACTACCTTCAAACCCTGAAATTTTATGTACGACTTGACAATACTCGCTTCCGCTTAATCAACCTTGGAAAATTTGGGTCGCTTCGATAGACTCGCCTCAGTAAGTTCACCCAACTGTATTAAATTTTTGCGTATTGTCATATTATTGTGCCTATCTTGAGACAGTCTGTATGAATTAAGTTTCATCTCTGATGCTGAGTAATTGAAATACATGTAATTTGATGAACGTCGTGGTTTCATTATACCAAATTTCCACAGGTGTCTGTTTACAACATGGAATTTATTCATGAGGCACACGTAATTCCTGAA